TTCTTCTAAATAAAAGCGCACCATGCAGATGAGGATTTCTGTATGCTGCTTGTGTTTCTAGGACTCTACCAGTTTTAATCTCCATAGTATGGGTGAGATTCAATGGATTCTTAAAACCCCATTGTAGGACTCTTAGTCGTAAACTAGTAGATGAGGTTAAACATTCAACAAAGGTACTTGTGCTCAGTGTGACAGATGCAGGTGGTGGAGCAGGGACCGGCTCTCTTCACTTCATCTGAGTGGGGAACCATAAAGAAACACGGATGCCTGGTGCTGATGCGCTGAATTTAACCAAACGGAGCCCCCCTGTTTGGTCCTGAACCAGCTGGCACGGGGGGCAGCTGTCCCTGATTCCATGAGAGCAGGATCTGGGTTTCAGGGAACCTGATTTTCATAGGAGCTGACAGGAAGGCAGCAGCACTGGTTTGCAAATGTATGCACTTGGGCTCACAGCCTGGTTTTCAGGCCATTTCTCACTGCAGGGAGCTCCCTAACACCCAGAAGAACACCCCTGATGCTGAGCGCCAAGCTGCATGAAGATCCTGAGCATCCTCTGTATAACTCCTCAGGTCAGGGCTTTGCTTAGTGTGCTGTGCTCTGAAACCAACCCAGGACACAGATCACTGCAAGTGAAATCAAGACTCCAGCTCAGGTCCTGCACCCTGCACTGACCCTCCCCAGCTCACACCATTGGCTGTCCTTGAACACAGACACACTACACCGTGATGCTTATGTCTATGGAAAATCTGCCCCATGCATTCACCTAAGCCTGAAACGGAAGAGGGAAAGGGAAAATTTTTCTACAGTCATCAACTTCTGCCTCCTGTATCCCACTCCATAGAATCATAGAATCATGGAATGGTCTGGGCTGGAAAGGACCTTAAAGCTCATCCAGTTCCAACTCCCTGCCACTGGCAGGGACACCTTTCACTAGAGAAGGTTGCTCCAAGCCCCGTCCAACCTGGCCTTGGGGCAGCCACAGCTTCTCTGGCCAAACTGTGCTAGTGCCTCACCACGCTCACAGGGAAGAGCTTCTTCCTTCTACCTAACCTGAACTTCCCCTGTTTCAGTTTAAACCCATCACCCCTTGTCCTATCGCTACAGCTCCTGATGAAGAGTCCCTCATCCTTGTAGCCCCCTTCAGATACTAGAGTTCAATATGGTTTTCTTACTGCTATTCACGGACCAGTCTAATTTAGAATGAAACAGGGTATTAGGAAGGTCATACTTTAATGAAAAACTTTAAAAGAAGCCATATTAGAGACCAATCTTTACACAGAAAACTCCCCTTGAAGGCGTGAGATTTTAAGAGATTGATTCTTTCATCATTCATGCAGAGGGAACTACCTGCATGCAGACCGCCCGAGGCCCCGGAGGGTGGGCGCAGCTCGCCTCCTCCTGCCGCGTTTTCACGTTCCCGAGGCTGGGCGGGCGGCTGCTGCCGGGACCCGGCGGGAGTAGCCGGGGCGCGGGGGCCCTCTGCCGGCACCGGCGCCACCGCGGGACCGTCCCGGGCTCTGCGCCGGCTCCGGGGCCGCCGGGCAAAAGAGAGTCCCGGCTCTCACCGCAGCCTCGCCCCGGCAGCCCGAGAGCCGGGCGGCTGAGCTCCGGGTTAGTGCGTTCTGTTATGCACAAGCTGTGAACCATCACTCACCCTGCAACGGAAACATCTGCAAAGGAAGCTATAGAATAGAGAATATTCATAGAATCACAGAAACAACTTTGAGATCATTGAGTCCAATCGTTCCCCCAGCACAGCCAAGTCCACCACTAACCCACGTCACAGAGGACAAAAGAAAGGGGGACTGGCTTAGCCCTTAGTGACTAAATATTAGTGTAATAGGGGGATTCATGGAAGAGCAAACCTGAAGTGACAGCCTGTTGCCAGCAAAGTGAGCGCAAGCAACACCAGCTGCTGAAGGTTTGGCCTCAAAGCCACACAGCACAGCAGCAGCAGGCCCTTTTTGTCCCCATTTCTAAAGCCTTTTTTACACACTGGTACACTTCTGGAGAGCCAGAGTAGCCTACAGCCTCCCAGCTGCTGATGCTTCTGCTTAGGCCACAGCACCAAACACCAGCATCAACAGGAAACAAGTGCAAACACTCAGTATTAAAGACAGTACACTACTATTAATGCAAATCTGTCCATTAATTTTAACAAGAGCCGTTTGCTTACGCAGAAGGATCAGATACAGACCATGTTTATTCCCCTTACATCCCAAATAAAGTTCCAACTAATGACAATTTTTTTGTTATATCACAGGATTTTGATACAGAAAGGTAAAGTTCCACTTAACGCATTTCAATGAATGGCAACATGAGTGCAGAAAAGCTGTGATTTTAACAATGACAGTAAATAATACAAATCATTATTGTTAAGAAGGTTTTGCATGTAACTGGCAATACAGTGCAAACCCAACAGTTGAGGCACTGGCTCCTGTGGGTCATCAACAGCCTTTGAGACACAGCATGTAAGTACCTGCACACCCCTGCTCAGTCACCACTGAGACTGTGCCCAATGACCCTGAAAGCTCCCACATCTCATCCTGTGACTGAGCAATGCCTTCCAGCACATACAGTGAACTAAGATTAATGGTAGAGACATACGACAACCCTATGTCTTTTAATGATGTCTCCTTTGCCAACCTGCCTGTGGAAGAGCAACAGCTCAGCTGAAGGACAGAATTCCCCTTCCAACACCCCACAGCAACAGAGCATTGCATGAACATCAGCTGCACTGTACTCCAGGCTGCTTACATCAAGCTGCTCAGCACAAACCAAACATGAGAGAAACCCAGAACTAAGTGCTGTAAAAGCGAATCATCCTACAGCCCTTTTGGGGTCTTTTAAACTGTGTCCAAATTTCTCCGATCTTCTTTCAGCACGCTCGCTGGTGATTCTCTGCTGAGGGACCAGACTGGTAACTCATGAGTGGAAACTCAGGATTAGCTTTTCTCTCTGGAGGACTTCTTGAATGACTGGCTTTTGAGTCCTGAATGATAGCAATCCTCTAACAAGTTATGGAAGAGCCTTTGAGCTTGACATTTTTATAAACACCAACCATTTTATCCTCAGTGTTTGTTGTTTAAGGAAATCCCTTCTAGTTCTTACGCATGTATAACATATAAAACAATTGAATTAGTACCATATGAGGGTAAAGGGGTGAAAAATCACATCTACAGCCAAAATAGTTCAGAAAAACTGTACAGCTGAGCTTTAAGATTCCCTACAGTGACTTTATATTTTGTTTAGACACTGGTGTTAATACTTCATATCGATTATGTGCAGTACAGATTACAGCAATACATGCTGTGTGCTGCATAATTTATTAACTATTAAAGGCAATTCTTATGTTTTACAGTTGTGAGTTATAACTAAACAGAATCTAAACTACCAGCAAATGAAGATTTCTGTTATTCTTTTCTTTTTCTTTCTGGATTAAACTGTTTCGTGGGGCAGGGTGCAGATGGACCCAAAGCCAAATATTCACATGCTCACCGTCAGCAAGCTGAGAGCTCAAGCTTTTTATATTTAAATATCTTTTATATTCTGTACATGTATAAGCTGCACTGGTGAAGTTCCAAAGGAGGGATTGTCTGTCTAGTTTTGTGCTGTGCATGAAAAGAAGACTTTGGCAACTGAGGTAAAGAAGGCAGCACTTCCTTGGAACTACAGGGATGCCAGAGGAAGGGCTAATGGCTGTTTGACACCAAGTAGTGTTAGTCTTATGATGAACTACCCTCAAAACTAGTGTTGTAGCTTCTTGACCTTGCTCAGTGAGACCCCAAAATATCCGTGACAGCATGGAGCTACAGGCAGGCCTAGATGCAATGCTGAGCCTCTCCTGCTTGCAGGCCATGCAGAACTCCATGCAGGTAAGGAGAGCTGCTGCTACTGTGCCTGAGCTGTGAGATCAGAGCCCCTTTGCTGTGTCTGTGCAAGCAGCGGGCAGTGTGTGAATGAAAAACAGGAGAGGCATCTGGGAAGAACATAAGGAAATAGTTGTGCAAGTAATTAGGGGCAGGAGGAAAGGATCTATTAATAAAGATTAACCTACTAACACTGGTTTCCTTGGTTCCCTATGTAGTCAGTGGAGATTCTCATGTGCAACCTGTAACTCAGGTAAACTGTCCTCCTAGAACTCAAACACTGTCATTTGTGAATGCTAGGCTCTGTCTCCCCTTAGCAGGGACACCCGTAACTTGGCAATCCTGGGGTAATGACTGGACCTGATGATTTTAAAGGTCTTTTCCAACCTGGTTGATTCTAGCAGGTTGATTCTAAGACTAGCAGATCCCAGTCAGAGATGCTGTGGTGCAATGAGATTTAGAAACACTTTTACTTGCAGGCAGCTGAAGAGTAGCATATATCAAGTGAAAAAATCTTGTGGTTCCCTCATCTCAGTTCTCATCTGTAAATACTACCTGATGCTAGACTGCCCCAGACAGTTTTGCAGGGAAACACCTGCAAAGCATTTTAATTTACGGCCAGTATAACCACAACCTTTCTGTCAGCCCATTCTGTCTGCTTTGCACCAAGGAGACCATAAACAGTGGGCTGAGGGTCCCCACCAAAGATGTTCAGATGATACTAAAAAGCTGTGCTGTTTTGCTCTAGAATGAGTGGTATTTGTCACTCCCATGCCTGGAGTTTACACAGCAGCATTTAAGTGAACAGCTTTACAGGGGAGAAAGGAGGAACCCAAAGAAGGAATAAACCTGGAAATCCTGAGGAACTAACAGAAGGTGAGATTATCACCCCCCCAGGTATGTTGGCAACGGTGGTGAACACACTCCTCCAGCTGCAGGCAGCTGCTGAGGTAGCCAGCCACTACCTCCTCCCCTGCTTATAGCTCACTCATCTATCGTCAGGACTCAGGGAAAAAACAAGTCTTGGCCAGATCAGGCTTTTATCCCTCATGGATCTCATCTCAGCATCTGGGGCTCTATCCAGCAGCTGAATCACCATAAGGACTTTGGCAAATTACACTTTTCAATAAATTGTATTTCACTTTGACACGTTTTATTGTTTACAAGGTTTACTTGGGAGATGAAACAAAAGTTAATTACATGAACCGATATGTCAAGAAAATGGATTGATTTGATATCCCCTCCAGATGGGCTTCCTTTGCGTGGCAGTGTGCATACCACATCTGAAAGAAGGGAGACAGGATATGTTAGGAAGGCACATTTGAGCTATCAGACTGACACTTCTTTATTACAGTGTATTTATTTTTTATCATGTGCTTTGACAGAAGTCTCATAAAGTGTTATACTCCTTCTGTAGGGTCAAAGTCTTGCGACCTTCCATGATTTTCAAGAGAAGGAACATAATTTTAGAGGGCATGTTTATTATTTCTGTAAACAGTCTGTTTTCCATGCCAAGAGAACAGTTTTTCTGTACGTACTTAGATGACAGCTCAACTCTACTAGCTCACTTTCCTGACCAAGTCCTGCCTGCCAAATGTTTTTGATCATAGTCTGGCAAACAAAACAGTATTAATAGTAGAGCTGAACAAATAATCTCCAGAAAACTGCTGATTTTTTTAAACTCTTTTTTATTGCTTCCATAATATCTGCAAATCAAATGCAGTTTCCTTGAGTTCAATCACATTTTTAAAGCACCCTATTTCTTATTAAAAACAAAATAACTCAACTCTGTGGGATTAGAAAAGCCACTTAACAGTTAGTTGTAGCAAAGCAGGTCCATCATATGATGTTGCTTATGTCCCTGCAGAACCCAGTGTCCATGCTGCTCCAGCACAAATGCTTGTTAAACTCTGGGCAGACAGCGTCCAAATGTGCTTTTACTGGCACAGATGTTCATGGATGGTAGATAAGACCACAGCCTAAACAATTTCTGCTAAGAGCACTGAGATAACCTCTTTTCCTCTCAAAAGGTGAAGCTGTATTTCAGATACACCTTTCTGAATGTCCTGCTTTCATGTAGGATCTGATGCTCTGTTAAATGAGGATATTGTATGATATATGTGCCTAGTCTTTGTTCTTCGATGGTCTTACGGAGTCTTGCAGCACCCTGAGGATGCTGTGAGCTTGAAGCAAATTGACCCCTTGCCTATGGTTCTGGATGGGTTTTTGAGGGGCACAGAGCTCACAAAACCCCCCACTATTATGCCAAGAAAGACAGAATTACAGCAAGTATGTTTGACTGTTATTTGTAGAACAGTCTTGTGGAAACCAGCATAGGTGAAAACAGACCAGCTTTAAGATATGATGGCAGTATTGATGGCACTGAGCTAGACCATGTCCTGTTTTACTCCTGTTCTTGCTTAGTAAACCATGTAAGAGGGATGAAGAATCCTAGGGATGAAGAATCAGTCTCATTACCCCCTTCACAACCATACAGTTTCCTGTTCTAGGGATGGGTTTATTCAGAGACTTGGATCGTGTAAAATACCAGGCAGCTGAGGCTGGAACAACCCTGCTTCTGAGGCAGTTTGTGATGCTGAGGCAGGAACAACCCTGCTTCTGAGGCAATTTGTGATGCAGCTCTCCAGCAGTATTTCCATACCTACCAAAAGCTGTCCCCTTCCCTCTAGACACCAGCTGCAGGCATAGCAATGAATTCCTATGAAAACATGAAAGTCTGCGTTAAAAGTCCAACCCATCCACTGTCTCTTTGGGTTTTGTTCAATGCTTTAATGGTCAGAAACCATAAGACTTCACTTCTGCAGCTCACTTCTCCTGATCTACTTTTTCTGCCTTCTCCCTACAACAATTGCCTGGCAGGTCGTTCTGATTTAGCAACCAAAGGATTCACATTGCCTGATTCTGCTTCATGGCCATTTCAGGTGTTTTGTTAAAATTAATTCATACTTCTCCATCCTTGTTCTGTCCCAACAAAGAAAAAAAATCAACCCCAACCCAACCCAAAAGCCAAAGTCACTACTTCAGTCCTGCTTCTTTCAGCATCTCCCTTGGGAAGCAGCTATTCCATTCTTCATGTTCTCGTGTGATGGTAACGGAACTACTATTTAGTTAATAATTGTTTTTAATCTGAGATACAGACAATACCCATTCTGACAGCAAATTAGCTGCATGCAATGGGCCTTGGTAGCCATTGAGTTCACTATTTTGTACAGATATGATTCTGAATTTGTACTCAGCATCACAGGGGATCTGGCATTTATTACCTCTAGGTCAGAAACATCAGTCCAGCCTAACACAGAAGATGCTGAAAATCCCCTTCAACTGTAGACTTATGATATTGAAACAAACAAACAAAAAAACAAACCAAAAACAAACGAGAAAAGCTGTAGACTGATGAGCTTTAACCAATGAAAAAGTTACCACTAGAATTACAACCAGAATGAACCACATCTCACTTAAGATATTTCTTACTAATGCTCAAGGCAGACTGGTAAGAGTGTATGGTTTAAATTAGCTCCCTGCAAACTTACAGCTGCTACGTTATCCTGTGGAAATTTATTTTCCCCCATTGTGGCTCATATTAATTTGCAGCTCTAGAGCTGCATGTAGCTTCAACCATTACAGGCTGTACAGAATGAAAAAGATGTGTCTGCTTCAGAAAGTAAAATGGTTACACAAAGGAGGATGATGAAAGCAGAGAACTGAAATAAATGCAGCCACTTACACCTTTACCTACCACAATGTTATTTCTTTAACACCCTTCTGGAAGGAGAACGTGCACTACACACAGAGAAGAGGAGAGGGTCTCAAAGTTCCTGTATTCCCTGATCTGTGAAAGAACTCGCCAGAGTCAAAGCTGTAGACTTTGACTATCAAGTTTCTTAATCATGATTTTAAAGTACAGTCACTGAAAGCCCCAGACACTCAGACCTTTCCCCTGTGCTCCTGTAAAACAGGAGGTGATTATTAGCTCTCTCCTGAGGTACAGAAATTATTAAAAAGAAATCCTTTAATGAAAAGTGTGGCTAAGGTAAACTACAGGAACAACTACTCTTTTGTGACAACAATCTTACTCTGAACAACTTCACGCTTGACTTATCAGGCTATCAGCTCGATAAAGGCCAAAGCACAGTTTTAAGGTCTTGAAGCTAACAAATGTGAAGCACGCAAAACCCCAAAAGATGAAGGAAATGCAACACAAAGTCCCATAAAAGCAACAACAACAATAATAAAAGCAGTAAGAAACCTCTATGTGATAGGGAGAAGACTGGTAACTGTGACTGAGAAACACTTGCCTCTTTTTAGAAAAAACAGGAACCAGATACACACAAAACCAAATAAAAGGACATGAACTCATCACAACAGGCAGCAGAACTGCTGCACTTGTCCTGCCCTGAAACAAAGTCCAGTTCACAGTGAGGGGTCTCCATCCTCACACTGTTGTATGCCAGAGCACAGGAGGGGTGAGCAGGAGGTGTCACCAACACACTGTCCAGCCAACACATCTTGGAAACCCTGCAGCCATGGGCATTACTTGATTTTTCCAGGAAAACGTGGGAAGTTAAAAAGGTGAATAGTTCCAGCACAATCCAGCACAATACTGAGCATGTAAAAGATCCACCAGCTCCAGTGAATGTGCACACAAACTTGTTTGTACTTAGGATCCACTCTCCAAACCCATAATGGCATGACCACATTCCACTGAAGACTTTCCTAGCCCCAGAAGCAGCCTCTTTTCTCTTGCTGTTGGCACTGTTTCATCACATCTGCTGGTTATCCCTTGTAGTCTTTTGTTCCTTTCCCATTACACTGATGTTCCCAGCAAACAAGACAGACATTGTACAATGCATGATGTGCCTGCATAAACAGTGCAGATGAAAGGCTTGTAGTGAAAACCTGAAACATCTTTGTAAAGGCTGTGCTTACGCTGGAAGCTAACACTACTATCTCTAGCGAGCAAGTGGGATGTCAGGAAACAAAAAGAGGAATAAAGCATTTAAATCCAATGTCTATGCAAAAGAGGTAAGGGCCACAAACAACCTGGATGCAGAAAAAAAGATAGAAGGTTGAAGGTAAACACTCCATATTCGTCCCAATAACTTTTTGGATTATACCCATGCAGTTACTTTTCAGCTAGCTGTGAGCTTTGTATAGCAAGGTTTCTGGGAAGCACTCAGAATACCTTGCCGAGAAGCACACTTTATGTTGGCCTAATCTCATGCTGCAAAATACTACCACGTTGAACAGGTAGTTCCAAGCTTCACAGAACTACCAAGATGAAGGGCAGGAACTTTGCAGATGAAACCCATCTTGCCTCGACATCAATCCAAGGAAAGTAAAACGAGGGCAGAACCTTCACAGAGAAAAGCAGTGGTTTAGAGCTGGGAAAAGAACAGATGCATCATGTTAATTTGCCAGAAGGTGGCATGTGCTGGTCTAAAATAAGTTCCAGACAGGAAAGCTTTGTAAGACCTAAACGGCAGAACTCAGATCTGAGGGAGGCATGTTCAACTTCAATGGAGTTCCACCATTTGCATTAGGTCCAAACAGTATTAAAGAATCTCATTATGTTCCCAAGATTTCCACTGAACCTGAATTCACACTTCTTCCCGGAAAAAAAGTTCCCTTTTCTCAATTTCAGCCCTTAGATTCTGTTGAGTTGCTCTAAGCAAAACCAACCTTTTTCTGGCTGTATCCGGGAGCCTGTATCCCATGTTCAACCTCAGTGAGTTTTCTACTGGTTCTGCTTCGTTCTCTGACCTAGAAAAAACTGTGCCTGGCAGAAGATGAATTTCTGAACATTCCTGCAACACAGATTTCCCTGTGTCACAGTCCTGAGGGGCCCTTCCTGGCTCAGTCTGCACTCAGCTGGTGCAGATAGAGGTGCAGCTGCACCATGAGCCAGATCAAGGACACAGTGTGGTGAAAACCTCCTATTTATCCTCATTCCAGACAGCAAGGAGCAAAGCCAGCACTCATTTTTAAACATGCAGTATGCCTCTGTGCTTGCATTTTTATACAAAACAAAGAAAACTATACACTTTCTTCTATGAATTTTATGAACTTAATAACTCATTTCTGAAGCATGCAGCAAGTTTATTCACATAATTCTGTAATGATAAACACAAATCTTGGGAACAGATATCACATGGCCTGCGCACAGACGTGCTCAGCATTCCAGCCCCAAGCAAGCAATGAGGATTGCTCATTGCTCAGAATTACACATGAGGAGTGTAATTGATGGCAAAGGCACAAATCACACTCAGCAGGACTGAATACTAAACGTGTGTCCTGCAGCTAATTTAAAAAACGAATCTTGTAAACTCCAGCACCAGTTTCTGACAGGCACACCGGGGAAGGAAACTGCATTCGGGTTTGTTAGGGCAAGACAGAGGTGAGATTCCCACAGCTGGTATTTTTGCTTGTTCAGAAATTGCAGCTGCAGGAGGAAATGCGGCATGCTAATGCTGTCAAAAAAACAAGACAGGTTTGAGATGCTTCGATACTAATAGCACTGACACGTTTTAAGAAGCAAGTCCTGCATCTCCCATGCTGACAGCTCCTTTAGCTTAGCAGAAAGGAGTGAGAGACCTCTTCTGCACTTCCACTGAGTTTTTACTTTTTAAAAACCTAAGTAAAAACCATGTCAACACTGCTACTGTTTATGTAATTTATATGATGTACTAGAGACACTAATTCTACCAGCTAATGCACTAATATGACTAATGAGACAGACATAATACTGCCAAAAGTCTGCAAGTATCTTGAAAGCCACAACTTCACAAGTGTGTTAAAAGGACATTCACTCCATAAACAGACAGATGTTCCAGCCCAGCACGCTAACACGTCACAGAGGTTTACACCTCTTACTATTTTCTTTGATCAGGAAATGTGCACTCAACTCTAGTGTTAAAATAAACCAGTACAATCCTATTCTATTTTGTGTCCAACAGCCAAATACCTTTTATGCCTGCTGAATGTACCCTTTAACCAATGTCGGTGTGGCATCTCCATACCACCACCATGAAAATCCAGTGGATTTCAGTTTCAACCCCTGCCAGGGGGGCAGGGACCCCTTCCACTGGAGCAGCTTGCTCCAAGCCCGTGTCCAACCTGGCCTTGAACACTGCCAGGGATGGGGCAGCCACAGCTTCTTTGGGCACCCTGTGCCAGCGCCTCAGCACCTTCACAGGGAAGAGCTTCTGCCTAAGCTGTTCAATTAA